CCTAATCCCCTGAATGCCCAAAACGACGTCGTTTTGGGCATTCTTATTATTTTTTTTTCTTTTTCTTCTTTTTCTTCGTCCCGATCGTCGCAGCAGCTCTGCCGTCGCCTCCGGCCCCGCCTCCGCCTCCTCCCACTGTTATGGCCCCTTCCAGTCCATTGCTCCTCCTCCTTCCTCCTTCCTCCTCCCTCCTCCTCCCTTCTCTTCTCCTTCTCTGCTTCTGAAAAAAAAAATAAAAAATAAAAATAAATAAATAAATAAATTAGGGGGATTCGGGGGAGCTCATTTTCGAGCTCCCTAGCATTACTATTTTAAATAATTCCTCGCCACTAATGACTATAGTTTACGTTTTTAGTTTATACTTATACAAATTTGATAAATTGATTTTTATTTATTTTTAGAAAAATATAAATTATAAACGTATTTGGTTTGAATAAAACGTTTAAAAACATAAACTAAAAAATATATTTGTTCATACTTAAAATATTTATATTTATTTTTATTATTTATGACAATAGGATCACACACGTTATAATTGAAAAAAAATTAATTAAAAAATTAATTGGGAAAAAAATTAATTGAAAAAAAAATTATTTGAAAAAAAATTAATTAAAAAAAGTTATTTGAGAATAAAAATTAAAAACTGAAAACGTAAACTCATTTTTTGAGTTTACGTTTTTTTCTCAAATTTATAAACTGCAACAACCATTTATAAACCAAAAAAATTATCAAACAAATTTTTATAACAGTTTTTAAAATTTTTGTAAATATAAAATCATTAGACCCTATCAATATCGATTTTTTTTTTTTACTCTTTACTAGTTTTAATCATTACTTTTAATAGTTTTTTAGTCGCAATTGCCACCCTAATCCTTCACTAACACCTTCACCATTTCTTACTCGCACAATCTCCTCCCGCATACATACCCACCCCCATAAATCTTGCTCATGGCCCTCTTACTTGCGTCTTTATTCTCTCATATTCTTTTTTGTTGCAATTTCTTCGTCTTCTGCGATTACTCTTTCTAGGTGGTGGACAAGTAAGAAAGACGAGCAAGATGGTATGCAAGGAAGGGAGAGACACTAGGTGGTAGCAAGAAGGGAGGAGGGGCTGGGGGTTTGTAGAAGGAGCTAAGGCCCTGTTTGTTTTGAAAGATATGAGTAGAATTGGGATTGAGATAGAGGTGGGACCTACTATATATTGTGTTTGTTTTTGGAGATGGAGAGGGGATTCATAATCCCAGGAGATTAGTATGGGTCTTGGTTTTGGGAAGGAGATTGAGATGGAAGAGGTAGAGATGGTATTAAGAAATTAGTCCTATGGGATTAGATTTTTTTATTTTTTATTTTTTTTATTTACGTGTTGGACATTTTTTTTAAACATTAATATTTAACGTTTTTGTATTTTTTGTTAAGTAAAAATCATAATTTATTTGTTTTAATATTTTATATTTCTTTTATAGGTTAATAATTTAACAATTCTCACATTAACAACTGCTATAAAAACAAACACAATTTTACTTAATCTCTTCACTATCAATCCCTTCACTAACAATTCCCGTACTATTAATCCTCTTACTATCAATTCTCTCTATTCTACTTATGAAAACAACGGGCCCAAGGGATTTGTGTCAAAGGTAGATAGGTAATAATATATACCAACATAATTTATATATAAAATGATATGATGTTTTGTGATTCTTTTATTTTAAACTAAAAATCTATTATTATGATATATAATTGAAAAAATGACCCATTAAAGTTTTATTTGTAAATCACTTTTTATTTGTGAAATGGAAACAAAACCTTTCAAATATATATATATATATATATATGTAGTGTTTTGGGAAATTGGTAAAAAGTTTAATTTTTTAGTTTTTTTTTTAATCTATTTTGCCTTTTTATACATAAAAAATGTGAGGTGATGTGACTCAAAATAGATAAAAAAATAAAAGTTGATTTTTTTTTTTTTGGTTCTCAAAAGATCCCTATATATTAACGTACGTCCATACCTTAGTATGGGAGAAATAATATTGGGATCAAATTTGAAATTAAGATAAGAGAGAGGGGGGGAAGGAGGGGGGTTGAAATGTAGGTTTATTCATGGGATTAGCCATTAGGGAGGTTAGAATTATTAATTTAATCGGATCATGAGAGGGAGAGTGAGTGGAAAAAGAAAAAGATAATAGAGAGAAGTGAAAAAGTGAAAAAGTAAAAAATGCATACGTAAAATATTTTTTAAAAAATACATTTCAATTATTGTCTTGTAATTTGAGCATATTTGAACCATTCAAATATTTTAATAGGATAAAAATATATTGAATATTCAAAACTTTCCTACTTTATTATATAGATTTTTTATGAAATGATAAATTATATATATTGACTTCAATCCGGCCCAATTTTTTTATGGTTTTTTTTTTACAACATATGAAACCTTGAAGAACACAATTTTTTGGGTCCTTTGAGGGCAAAAATAAAAAAATGGGCCAGTTATTTAGAGTTGGTATCTGGGCCAATGGGCCCATATTTATTATGTTGGACCAAATATTGGAAGTAATTACTAATTTCATTTCCCATAAAATGGGCTAGGCAGGAACAAAGTTTGGACACTAATTTCAACATTTTGCCAACATCTTCACAGTCCAACAAATCATATTTCTGGTCTGCGCTAAGGGTCAGGCCCACTTCAAGATTTTTGATCTATGACTCATAATTATTGTTATTTTCTTAATACATCGCTATAACTCGAAAACTAATAAGAATATTATATATGATCCATTTTTTTTTACAACTTTTTTATTTCATCGCATTCACGTCAAAATATAATTCTTCTTAGCCTCCGTTTGGGAAAGGAGTTGACTTTTTGACTTTTTGACTTTTTTGACTATTTTAGCCTGGGCTAAAAGGTTTGGTTTGGGAAGGGTTTTTTGTCTTTTTTGACTTTTTTTATGAGAGAATAATATAATGATTATGGGTTGGATGTGATATTTTATTTTTTGTGGCTAAAATAGTCTATTTTGTCTTTTGTGGCTAAAATAGTCAAAAAAATCCTGTTTAACTCTTGCCAAACGGAGCCTTAATGTATTTTGTTATGTAATATGTTCAAAACATAAAATCAATTACAAACGTCCAATTATGCAGAGACATGAAACAATGATATAAATTTAATGCTAAATATTAATTTTTTATATATCTGACTTGGAAATGAAATTCTTATAATTATCAAAAAGAAAGAGAAAGAAGTCGAGAAGCAATTAAAGCTGATTAACAAAAAAGTAAGTTATGTTATTGTGTAAAATTGATAATTAACCCAAAGAAAGAAGTGAAATAGAATGTTAAGATTTCTCTTTTGAAGCCTTAAGAAGAAGAAGAAGAAGAAAGAAATTTCAGGAGAATGAGAAGAAAGAGAAAGGACAAAACAAAAAATAAAACAAGAATAGAAAGAGAAATTGAGTGAGAGAGAGAGAAAGAGAGATAATAGGGTGGATTATCATGATTGTAACCAAACACACCATCTATGATGCATTCATTCGACACACATCAACCCCACATCCATAATCATCATCTACCATACATCACCAAGCATCATGCAATCCAAGTCATCCATCCATCACCTTAAATAATAATAAATAAATAAAAAATCAACTAATTAGATTTAATATAATGATTATGGGTTGGATGTGATATTTTATTTTTTGTGGCTAAAATAGTCTATTTTGTCTTTTGTGGCTAAAATAGCTAAAAAAATCCTGTTTAACTCTTGCCAAACGGAGCCTTAATGTATTTTGTTATGTAATATGTTCAAAACATAAAATCAATTACAAGCGTCCAATTATGCAGAGACATGAAACAATGATATAAATTTAATGCTAAATATCAATTTTTTTATATATCTGGCTTGGAAATGAAATTTTTATAATTATCAAAAAGAAAGAAGTCGAGAAGCAATTAAAGCTGATTAACAAAAAAGTAATAAGTTATGTTATTGTGTAAAATTGATAATTAACCCAAAGAAAGAAGTGAAATAGAATGTTAAGATTTCTCTTTTGAAGCCTTAAGAAGAAGAAGAAGAAGAAGTAAGAAATTTCAGGAGAATGAGAAGAAAGAGAAAGGACAAAACAAAAAATAAAACAAGAATAGAAAGAGAAATTGAGTGAAAGAGAGAGAAAGAGAGATAATAGGGTGGATTATCATGATTGTAACCAAACACACCATCTATGATGCATTCATTCGACACACATCAACCCCCACATCCATAATCATCATCTACCATACATCACCAGGCATCATGCAATCCAAGTCATCCATCCATCATCTTAAACAATAATAATAATAATAAAAAAAAAATCAACTAATTAGATTTTAAAAACGAGATACCTGATCTTTTGTGCTTTTACCTCAAATGCATTTTCAACCATCAAAATTGTCATATAATTAAATGGTTGATTGTGCATTTAGATAAACATTTAAAAAAAAAAAATATTTAGTCCTAAAAGACACTCTACTGTCCCTCTCTTTTGAATCTCTTTCATGTAATTCTTAAGTTGTATTTGGTTAGAAGATTTGAGAATGAATTTAAAAAAAGAAATGAAAAATGTATGTGAAATTAAATGAAATATAAATATATTTTATTCATATTTCACTCACTTTTTTTCTTTTTATTTCCTAATCTCTTTCTAAACCTTTCAACCAAACAAAGGCTACTTCTACTACTTCTACTTCTGGCGAGTGGTAAACGTTTGAAACACAACGGTCCCGGCGGCCGGGAATTCACCCACCGTGCAACTTCGGCATTTCAATCCAAGTGGCTCGAGCGTGCTGGTGACACATGTCCACACCTCATGGCCGGTAGCACAGGTAGATGAAACCGACATTGTCCCTGGCCGAAAAACTTGCGCCACCTTCTTCAACACCTTAACAAGATTATATGTGAAATTAAATGAAATATAAATATATTTTATTCATATTTCACTTACTTTTTCTCTTTTTATTTCCTAATCTCTTTCTAAACCTTTCAACCAAACAAAGCCTTAGTGTACTACTTCTACTTCTGGCGAGTGGTAAACGTTTGAAACACAACGGTCCCGGCGGCCGGGAATTCACCCACCGTGCAACTTCGGCATTTCAATCCAAGTGGCTCGAGCGTGCTGGTGACACATGTCCACACCTCATGGCCGGTAGCACAGGTAGATGAAACCGACATTGTCCCTGGCCGAAAAACTTGCGCCACCTTCTTCAACACCTTAACAAGATCATCATGACCGTCGTAAACTGACCCAATGCACTCAAAGCTCGCATAGCTGAACCCATCCTCTGGTGTAACGTGAATTGTGGAGTACCGATCACTATCAACTCCATTCATCGAATACCCACATGGCTCAAATCCAAAGTCACACAAAATAGCATTCGGATTGATATCTCCGATACCTGTCATCTCCGTCATCACTTTTCCGGCCATATCACCCAATTTATTGTCGTCAGGACACTTAAAAAACTTCCTGGCCAGCACTCGGTCGAGCTCAGTCATGCAAACTTCAACAGTATATGACTGCTCAGACATTTGTATTATCATGTCAGATTTATTACTAGCAGTGAACACGTGCCATGAATGACAAGTCAACTTAGAAGGCATCACATTGGCTTTTCTATAGCAAACATGACTTGGCAATACATCTTCCAAGTACAACACTTCTTCTCCAAAACTAGTGTGAGGGTAAGGTTGTGACTTGGGAAAAATAAAGCTACCTCGGCTGTACCTACACCCGCACAAAGTCAGCCCCACATCACAACCATAGTCTACCAATGGACGGACAGATTTCAACAGCTGAGTGGTCCCACATGTCTTGATGATGATCTTCATGGGGTACACAAATAGACTCGACTCAGACAACACATAAGAGTCGAAGTAGTGGTTCCCCACAGCTGATACTACGGTGCATTGCACCGCATGGAGCACTTTCTCCAGCAACTCGAAGTTTATCCGCCGGAGGCCCATTCCGGCGGAATTGTCACTGGAGAATCGGAGTTCTAAGCGCTTTTCGAAGCCTTCGAACCCAGAAACCGCCATTGAAAATGGAGAGAGATTAGAGATGATTGATATGAATAGGATTGAGTTTCAGAGATGGAAGAGAGTTGTGGTGTGAGATATAGAGGGAGGGTTGTGTGTGTATATATAGAGAGAGAGAGTGGAGGAGAGAGAGAGGGCATGCGGGTGAGGGAACCAAAGAAAAATGATTGAGAGCATTTCTTCAATGGAAGATGATGGTTGGTTTTTGAGTGTGTGAAAGATCTTTCATCAGAGAGAGGAAGATACAAATGTAATTTATACCCACGCGCGTACTCTCGTTTTGAATTTGCTTAAGAAAATTCCAAGATTTTCTTGGTTGATATAATCATAACCCTTTTTTTTTTTTTTATTATGTACTACAACAATATGCTAGCTAGTTAACATTTTGATGTTGTAAAGGGGTCGCTGGAGGTTTAGAGACGTTCATGTTTTATTTGAATTATGGATTTTGATAAAAAAAAAAAAAAAAAATTAAGAGAAAAATGAAAATGATGAAAAAATAATAACTTAGTTATCGCTTACATTATATATATATATATATTTTTAATCTAAATTCGTAATCTAAATACATTGAGAGTTTAGACTATAAGTTCGACCAAGTAGTCTAGTTGAAGAGTCCGTTTATAGAAAGGAAAGATATGTTATTGGAAGTATGATATGGGCGTTGTAATTCGTTGCAATTTAAAAATAAAATTATAATTAAATTGTAAATAACGAATTAACAAATTTAATATCCATGACCAAACTTGTGTTCTTACTTTTTTTTGTTTTTTTGTGTTTTTTTTTTCCAAGAAAACTGATGAGGTGAAAACAAGTCTGAATGATGAGGACAGCCTGGTCTTTTCTGAAATGGGCAGGTGGAGTGGGTATGTAGACATGCCCAAAAACACATCAATTGTTTTTTGAAAACATAAAAAACAAAACAAAAGGATTTCATAGGCGTGGCAACTAAATTATGATAATATATCCATAAAATATTGTACGTGAAATCAAAGGCATTCACATCATATTTTTATGCTACACATACAATGTATTATCATCATTTTTTTTATTTTTTTTTGTATTTATCAAAACACAATACTTGATCAAATTGTGTACTTCAATAACTTTGGTTCCCTTCATATGAACAAAATGTTGTGAAAAAGTGAAAAACATCTTTGCCAATGCACATATAAATGCATGCATATATAAATATATATAATGTATTCAACCCCCCCTATTGGAAACATCTCAATCAACTAATTTTTGGCTTCGGTTGTCATCAAATTATGTAGTTTTGTACCGAAAAGCATGTTTATTTAGTTCACATCTCATTATTTAGACAGAAGAAGTATAAAAATCATAAATGAATTTCTTACTTGATCTTATCTCAATATAAACAAAACACAAAACTTTTTTTTTAAATACAAAAATGTACAAAATACATCCATCTTAATAAACTGTGGGCGCTATTCCAGATTGCACACTTTTAATTTTGATTAAAAAAAATTATAAGATAAAGAACTAAAATTGAAAGGGAGAATATGTATTAAAGAGAGAGAGAGAGAGAGAGAGAGAGAGAGAGAGAGAGAGGTGGAATATGCAATGATGTGAAATTGTGAGTTTAGGAACCAAATTTGAAGTTAATAGAGAGGCATGAATTGATTGAGAATGTATATATGGGTTGCATGCCTGCCCACCCGCCAAACCACACAATCTCATGGCCTCTTTTTAAGAATTGGTTAAAAGTTAATTTTTTGATTTTTCATCTATTTTAAGTCATATTATCTTTTTATTTTTTTATATGTTTTTTTCAAAAAAGTTAAAAAAAACTTTGATAGTACAGTTCGTTCCAGTGAATGGATCGGACAGGTCCAAACTCCTCAGGCCAACGTCCAAATGATGAAGCCCACCGGATAACCTGCAAACAAGTTCAACAGGGAACGGGATAGTCCCCCAGTGAACCCTCCGATGAACAAGTTAGGAAGAAGGGTAGAGTATATAGGGAGAGATTAGGGATAAAAAGTTTAACCTTCTTCTTGCCTTCAACGTTTGCTTATATCCTTTGGTAATCATTTCGCTGTCTCTTCCGACCTGTCCTCCTCGCCGAAAGTCTATGTTGTAGCTTACCTCGTTCAGGGTAAGGGGACCCTGTTCCGACGGGGAGGTATTGTCGTAATAAATGTTGTGACGCGCTGCATTAATGGTGATGTGCAGTGGCAATAACTTTGCAGATCTTTGTCTGCTGATGTGGCTCGTCCTTCACCCGCCACGTGCCTGAATGCCATTGGTTCTTTATGCCATGTTGGATTCCAGCTATTCTGGACTTCATCGGCTGGGTTATGTATTGGGCTTCGATTGATGGGCTTGGGTTGTTTATAGTGGTTCATGGCCTTTGTGGGCCTATCCATGTCAGTAGTCCCCCATTCCCGAGTGCAGCTTCAGTCCAATGAAGGGAATATGTATGAGGAAGATGAGTCCGACCGGGATGGGCGGCCGAGTTGGTGGACCGAGTGTGAGATGGTCCGACCGTGGGGAGGGCTGATCGCTCGAAGGCCGAGCGGAAAGGAAGACTGTAAGGAGGGCTGACCGCGCGAAGGCCGAGCGGAAGGGCCGACCGTAAGAGGGGCGACCGTGCGTGATGGCCGAGCGGGAGACCAACCGGGGGGAGGGGCGACCGCGCGCGAAGGTCGAGCGGAGGTTCGCGGGGAGGGCTGATCGGGCGAAAGCCGAGCGGAAGGGCCGACCGTGAGGAAAGGCGACCGCGCGCGAAGGCTGAGCGGAGGGTCGCGAGAAGGGCTGATCGCATGAAGGCCGAGCGGAAGGACCGACCGTGAGGAGGGGCGACCGCACGCGAAGGCCGAGCTGAGAGTCGCGAGGAGGGCTGATCGGGCGAAGGCCGAGTAGAAGGGCCGACCGTGAGGAGGAGCGACCGCGCGCGAAGGTAGAGCGGAGGGTCGCGGGGAGGGCTGATCGCACGAAGGCCAAGCGGAAGGGCTGACCGTGAGGAGGGGCGACCACGCGCGAAGGCCGAGCGGAGGGGCGCGGGGCTCAAGAGGCGGCGTGTCAAGTGATGATTGGAAGTGGAAAAGACAGGGTAAGGGGGGTAGATAGTGCATCGTGGTCGTACACGTGGCAATATGTTAGGGGGAAGGTTAGGCGTTGGAGCAGAAATGAAACGATAGGTCATAATAGGTGTTGAAAAGGCAGTTTTGGCGGATGATTTGAAAAATTTTCAAACTAGCAAAAATTAATTGGGATCCTTGGAATACGGGCAAACCGTGGGCTTTTGGCGTCATTCGATTCACCTACTTGTTTACAAAAACTCAAAATATCCCAAGTGTTAATTCCTTCGTTGCTCACGATACACCTCTGCAACAGTTTTTTAATTTTCTTGCTCCTACGTCAGAAGCGATTCGTAAACATTCCATAGAAATGGCCCAAGAAGAAGCTGTGAGTGTGAGGGTGGACCCACTTGGTGATGATGATGCAGTGGAACTAGCGGCGCAGTATAAGACAGAGAGGGTAGGGGAGTCGGTGGTACGATCTCATGGTTCCACCATGATAGTAGCTCCAAAGCCAATCAGCCAGGCGGAACCAGATCATTGGCACACGAAGGCTGACAAATCCACAATTACTGCAGCGGAGTTGGAGGCTATCCGCGAAAAATAGCAGATCCCTGTAGAAGTGGGGTTATTGCTGCCGACATCAACGGAAAGGTCGTCTGACGGCAGGCCATGAGAGTTTTCCCTTTATGAGGAAGCTCTAAAGGGTGGACTGAGGTTGCCACTGCCGCAAGTGGTAGTGGATGTGCTCAACCGTCTAGAGGTAGCACCGGGCCAACTAATGCCCAATGCATGGAAGATCCTGCTAGCCTGTGCAAGTGCGTGGCCGAAGGCGAATGGAGGGGAGGCCATGACAGTAGACGAATTCTTTGCATGTTATAAGGCCTCAGGGCAGCAGGAGACGTGGGTCATTCTGCAGGCAGTAGTGGGGAAAGGGTTGGTGTCGGGACTGCCGTCGTCGATCAAGAGGTGGCGACCACGATAGTTCTACGTGTCTGCCAATGGGGGGCTTGGAGTATGCACCATTTGGAAAGTACCCATCAGGTCTGTGGAGCCGAAATTGGGAGCAGCCGCGGAGGGGAGGGTGAAGAGGGTGAAGGAGTGGAGGGAGAAAAAAGGGGCCAAATGGGACAAGCTCGTTCAGCCGTCTGCATTGTTTGAGGCAGGGTTAGGTCCAAAGCCAAGTAGTGGGGACCTCGACCGAGCGGAGTTGGAGGCGAGGAGAAGGGCTCAAGAGGCGGAGTGGCCTGTGCAAGTGCGTGGCCGAAGGCGAATGGAGGGGAGGCCATGACAGTAGACGAATTCTTTGCATGTTATAAGGCCTCAGGGCAGGAGGAGACGTGGGTCATTCTGCAGGCAGTAGTGGGGAAAGGGTTGGTGGTGGGGCTGCCGTCGTTGATCAAGGGGTGGCGACCATGATGGTTCTACGTGTCTACCAATGGGGAGCTTGGAGTGCGCACCATTTGGAAAGTACCCATCAGGTCTGTGGAGCCAAAACTGGGAGCGGCCGCGGAGGGGAGGGTGAAGAGGGTGAAGGAGTGGAGGGAGAAAGAAGGTGCCAAATGGGACGAGCTCGTTCAGCCGTCTGCATTGTTTGAGGCAGGGTTAGGTCCAAAGCCAAGTAGTGGGGACCTCGACCGAGCGGAGTTGGAGGCGAGGAGAAGGGTTCAAGAGGCGGAGGATCTGGCCATCCTTGGTAAAGCCCAAAAATTCAAAGAGTCCCAGGCCGACCGACCACCAAAACCGGTTGTGAGGGAGAGGATTCAACCTCGCCCCAAACCTTTGGGAGAGAAAAACTTAGGCGATTTTGTGCCACAGCTGCCCCCAACAGACCCTTTGAAGGAGAGGTCTTTGAAGGAGATGGAGGCGTTGGGCGTAGGGAAGAAGAAGAAGAGGGTGAGGCGGAGTGAGGAAGTGCCTGAGCAAAAGAGGAGGAGGGAGACAAGTGTGAAGGAAACCGGTGCTGCCAAGGGGGCTGAGGGGGGAGAAGTTGAGGGGACCCCAGGAAGGATAGGTGGCCCAAAAGCGGTGGATGCTGCTTCAGAGGGCATGGAGGTGGTGCCAGTGGTGGCGGCGATGGCCGTAGGGGTCGCGAGGGCCGCCCCTGAAGGGCAAGGAAAAGATGGGGAAAGCAGCCCTGGCTTAAGAAGAGAAGAAC